GCACACACAGCCACCCCTCGCCCATCAGGCCTTCTAGAGTCCTGCGGTTCACTCCGGGCCAGGTTTCTTCATGAAGCTGGCTGGTCAGGGACCGCAAACAGCTCCTGAGGCCAAAACTCTGTCCCGGAGACAGAGGCCCCCTTCATCCTTGTCTTCAAGTAGCAGGGCTCTGAGGGAAAAGGCCGCAGGTGTCGAGGACTCTTGTGGGGGCTTCAACAGGCAGCCAGACCTGCCCCCAAAGGGAGAGGTTTGCTGAGACGGAGCCCTGCATGGGTCTAGGTGGGCGGCCTGCCTTGAAGAGCTTCCTCCACAGAGGGAGGCCAGCAGCGGGGAGAAGCCATGGTATGGACTGAGCCGGGCCGCCGTGCACAGGGAGCCCGGTCGCCCATGAGCCCCTGAAAACTCACAGGTGGGCAACAGACTGCTGGACCGTGCTTATGCAGAGACAGCCCGATATCGTCCCATCCACTGTGGAGCATCTCAGGGCTCTGTGGGGTGGCCCGCTTGCTGCCGCTTTTGGACAAGCAAGTGGACTGCTGAAGGGAATTTACTGTTAGCAACATTTTGCCCAAGGGCCCCATCTCTGCATCTGGAGCCTCAGGTGTGTTCCTTTGCCATTTCCTCCCGCAGCTTGCCTCAGAGGGCTGCCTGACATCTGCTTGGCGCTTCGGCCGAGGCTTAAGGCACTAGGGGTTTTGACTTCCCCGATTGGGTGGATGGCATTTTCTGTTGTTTCTGTGCCCACCTCTTTGCCTGAGTGAGGTTTACAGCTGGTGGTGTCCCACGTGAAGTTTTTGAAAGCTTCCATCCAGCAGGCCGCAGCCGGGAGCACGGGAGACCTGCGCCTCCAGCCGGTCCCAGGGCGCCCGAGGCCCTAGCGCAATTCTCTCGCAAGGCCTGGCTTGGCTCTCGCGAAATGGTGCGTAAACTGGGACCCTGTGTTCTGGCAACGGCCTTGGGGTTCTCACGTGGATGCAGACCCGCAGCACAGGTATCTGGCGAACGGCTCAACAGGGCAAGGCAGCGGCCCCGATGTCGCCTATTCTAGCATCAACTCGCGGGGCTGGGAACAGCTGGGCTCATCATGGCTTTGGAGCAGGTGTGGGTCGAGGGCTCCTGTGACCTGCCACGACTTTCCAGGCGGCCGGCCAAGGTGATGCCTCAGAAGCCTGAGGCGGGCATGGCCACGCCCTGGACCTAGTGAGGCCCAAGCACTGGTGTGATGGAGTGTCCAGGCCTTGGTCGCCCCCCCCCCACATATGGTGGCACGAAACCAAGCTGAAGGTCCTGCCCATGAGCCAGCCCGCCAGATAATCTCGTGGAAGGCTGGCTCAGCTCTCGCGGTATTTCTCCCCTCAAGCACCCCGGGGCAGTCCAAAATGGCCGCGGGGGAAGCTGTGGCCCCGGAACAGCCTGAGGGTTCTCGCGTGGAGACGGACCTGCAGCAAAGGTGGCTGGCCTCAGGCTAATCAGGGCAAGCCATCTGCCCTGATCACGTGGAATCTCGCGTCATCTCGCGGTGCTGGGGAGAGCTTGACTCGGCAGGGCTGTCCTTCGGGAATAGAGCCTGAGAGCCATCCCTCTGCTGGGAGGCTGCCCTTCCATAGTCCTCCCACATCTTGCGAGGTCCTTGCGTGGACAGGACCTGATGTCTTGGCTCAGCTGCGTGCATGTAGGGGTGCAGTTAGGGTATGGAAATGCCGCCCGGGGGCTGGGGCTTCGGTCATGGAGGAGGCCAGAGGCGAACTGCCTGGCCAGTGGGGCGGACCCATGGGAGGAGCTTCGACGAGGTCACCGGCAGAGGCGGGGCTGTGGCCTAGGCATGGCTGGGGGCGCGGCTACGGGGCACGCGCTGCCAGGGACAGCCCTCGGGGGACTGCAGTGCCCCATTCATATCTGTGCAAGTGCTTCGACCTGGCCCGCTTTCCACCAACACCGTTGCAGTGTCTGGAACTGAACTGTGGTGACCTCCCTTCTCTTCCCCAGGAACTGAAGTCCTCTCCTCGTCTCCAATCCAGTCACCGGTCCCAATACAGAAGAATCCTGTAGGCCAGCTTCTGCATTGTGTGAGGTTTGGAGAATTTTCTTTCTTTAGCTCTTCCATCCTCTCTCCCTTTTCGAAAGACAATAGCACGGGGGGGCACAGAGTGGCCCAGATCCGTGAGCCAGACCTCATCCAACACGTCCCCTTGCTTCCCCAGCCCTACCCCGTGGTCTGCTCTTAGGCCCATCAGGGCCATCTCTGGCCACACGAGGGCAGCAAAATATGGCATGGATCCTCCACGGTATGCCGGCAGGCTTCTTCGGTGCTACGGCGCCCTTGCCAGGCTTTCTGCGGTGCCACAGCGCCCTGTCAGTGACCACGGATATCCTTGCATTGGGGCTCCAGGCCCAGGAAAGTCACGACGTGCCTGGGAGGGTCAGCGCGGGCTCCAGCAGACCAGCTTTGGGCTCCAGGCACACGAGGGACACCGGGACCTCCTTGCACACTGGCCCAGGGATCATCCTTTCTGGCGTCTGCGGTCATCGCACATGCCATGGAGTGAATGCCTAGCCTCTGAGAGTTGAGGATCACCCACACCAACAGTTCTGTCACTGAACCGAACGCACAGGCCACGGACACCCATGCCTCCACTGTCACAGGCGGTCCTAGGATGCACCCGAACCGTGGCCAGCCGTGGCCTGACCGGACCGCTGCCCAGGCTTTACCCGCCCTTAGTTGTCCAGGAAAGCCCGGTCCTCCCCGGCGCCTGCGGTCCGCGCACATGCCATGGAGTGAATGCCAAGCCTCTGAGAGGTGAGGGTCACCCACACCAACAGTTCTGTCACTGAACCGAACGCACAGGCCACGGACACCCATGCCTCCACTGTCACAGGCGGTCCTAGGATGCACCCGCACCGAGGCCAGCCGTGGCCTGACCGGACCGCTGCCCAGGCTTTACCCGCCCTTAGTTGTCCAGGAAAGCCCGGTGCTCGAAGCAGCCCCCAAAGCCAAGGACACTACCAGCCCCCAAGCAAGAGGCCAAGCCACCTCCGTGAGGAGAAGGCGCTAGGGAGCCTGCTCCCGCCATCTTCAGTCCCTCCTCCGCCAGGGGTCTCCCTCTCTGTATGTCCCCCACACTCACACACTGGACCTCCCACCCAAGGGTCCATGCACCCAACGAACACACAAACGCACAATCACACGCACAGACAGCCATACCTCGCCCATCAGGCCTTCGTCTGCAGACCCTGCCCAAGGCACTCGGGAAGCCAGGTCTAGTGCTTCCCATGGTGCTGGCCGTGTGACATGTGCTTGGGCCCCGCAGCCTGGCTGGGGCCCAAGCTGCGCTTGCACTTCCACTTGTTTTCTTTGGGAGCAGCAGGCTTCCTCTGGCCCAGAGGGCAAGCCAACAGGACGGCATTGTGAAAGCAGGAGACAGCAATGCTTCTCTGGCAAGGGGCGGGCACACACCCAAGCAAGGCCCCGCTAGACAGCCTATCACGGTGGCACGCACGTGGTGGGCTGATGTCTTGCTTCTCTTGCTTGGCGATTCACTTGGCGAATCAGAGCTGGGGTGCAGAGCAGTGGCAGTGGCAGTGGCAGTGGAGTGGAGTGTGGTGAGAGGACTCAGCAGAAGGAGGCTGATAGAGTAGGGTGCAGAACAGGGAGTTCCACCTGCACTAAACTCCACCGCCGCCAAAGGCAACAGCAAGCGGACAGGAGAGTTCGGCTACACCGTGGGGGATGGCGCCCCAGTCCTGGGATCGCACTCAGGCAGACCCATGGGACTGGGCCTGATGTACTCACTTGGGGACAGAAAGCACTGCAGGGGCAGTCAGGCAGTCACGGGCTGACTGTGGGGTGCTTGCTGAGCCCCACCTCCTTGATCTCTGCCTGCCTTCAGAGCTTTGCAAACCCCTGTGGCTGCCGTGAGCCAGTCTATGCATGGCTAGAAGCATCTCAGAGTCTTCTCCATTCACGGGGAAGTGTGGCCCCCCTTTCGCTGCCCTCTCAGCACAACACCTGTTGTTTCTCTGCCAGGGTGTGGTTGAGTCCAGGTGCAGTGCCTTATGTCTACCTGGCTGGTAGAGTGTGGCTGGCTGTCAATGCCATTTGATGAGGTGTTTGGAATGTGAAAAGATTCCTGCTGTTCTCTCCGGGACAG